AGTGGTGGCAACTTACGCACGAGCAACCATCAATTTCCATTACAGCACCCTAAGGCCCATGGGCCGGAAGTTTGGAAAAACTTTAAAAAGTATAAGAACTCACACTAGGTAGTGAAAAAATAGTAATTTAAACAAAATGCTTATAAAAAATAAGATAATTACTTAACATTTAGCTTCTGTTACACATTATATCCACATAAGTCAATATATACAGTGGTGCCCGCTCAAGACGAATGCCTCGCAAGACGGAAAACCCGCTAGACGAAAGGGTTTTCCGTTTTGGAGGTGCTTCACAAAACGAATTTCCTATGGGCTTGCTTCGCAAGACGAAAATGTCTTGCGAGTTCCTGCAGGGTTTTTTTCCTTTCCCCCCCTTTTCCCCAAGCCGCTAAGCCGCTTATCAGCTGATCCGCTAAGCCGCAGATCAGCTGATCCGCTAAGCCGCAGATCAGCTGATCCGCTAAGCCGCTTAACAGCTGATCCGCTAAGCCGCTTAACAGCTGGTCGCTAAGCCGCTTATCAGCTGATCCGCTAAGCCGCTTATCAGCTGATCCTCTAAGCCGCTTAACAGCTGATCCGCTAAGCCGCTTGTCAGCTGATCCGCTAAGTAGCTAATAGCGCTAATCCGCTAATGGGCTTGCTTCGCAAGACGGAAAAACTGCGGAACGGATTCTTTTCGTCTTGCGAGGCACCACTGTAAGTATATAAAGTATAAAGAGATGTGCCCTTTGGGAAATTTGGTTTTGGCAACCGCAAAACAACATCCTTCAAATCAACACTTGCAATAGGGAAGACAAACATACAAGATCCTGGCTTTTTCCTGAGATATGACACTTGTTTAGAGATTATTGTACACTAAGCAGGGCACTTTAATACATATCAATGCGTCCCATGTCTTAGTGTATCAAAGTGCCCCAATTGACATTTTCAAAAAACTAACAATTGTTAATAAAGCCACTGAACTTATTTGAAAATCACGTGTAATCCTGATTACTGAGTGGAATAACTTACCTTTGGTATTTTTATTTATTTATTTATTTATTTATTTTTAAATAATATTTATTCAACCTTTACAATCCAAATTTTCAATAACTTTCTTTCCACAACTTCCCCTCACCTCCCCTTATTGTATTCCATGTCCAAATATTTATCCAACAAGTTCTTATCCCTAAATTCTTAACCTTAATTTGTTATTATATTCAATTCAGTTTGTATATCAACTTTTAACTTATATACACCAATCATTTATGCTTAGAAACTTTTTCTAAGATCGACCCAGTTTCCCTTCCACGAATTCCCCATTTTTATACTAGTTACAACACCAAATTAAAAAAGAAAAGAATAGAAAAAATCGAACACCCTTTGGATTTCCAAACCCCACCCTCCCTTTTACCTTTGGTATTTTAAAATCTTAACTAAATGATGTAAAAAAGTGTTGGAACACTTTTACATTTCACATAATTTTTAGTTGGTCATGCTAAAAACACACCTACTCTCTTCAAACGCCAACGGCTAACTGGCGGCCAGCGCAGTCGCAACTGTTCTACTCACACATGTATAGGCACATTTGGGTGATGTCGTAGGACAAATAACATTTCTCGATATTGAAATATTGTTGGTGTGTCAATGTCCCCCTTGTGTCAATGTGCCCCACCTCCCCCATTCAGTGTTTTCAGGGGAGGGGGAAGAAGGGGAAAGTGTCCCCCCCCCCAGATAAGACTCCCATCCTCCCTGGCCATGGGCCATCCTTGCTTGGGCAGGTGGTACTTTGAGTCCAACCACATCTGGAGGACCAGAGATGCCTCAACTCAGCACAGAAGGTTCCTCTAGAGCTCAGTGTTACTTGGGAGTTGGTGGAACAGGATCTTAAGGGTTCTTGAGACAATTGTTCAGGGATTATGATTGGTATCCAGACCCTAACACTATAAAGCCAAGGTGTCTCCACTGAGCAGTTTATCAACCCTGCTGGCCGCTGGGGAAGACCTTCTGAAGGCAATGGTTTGCCCCCAAAGTTAATTCCTTCCTTCCTCCGCTGCTGCTGCCCACACTAAAGGAATGTCTGGATGAAATCCCAGGGATGTCTGGCTCCTATGTCCTGTTGATATTCTAGAAAAAAGTGTGGCTAAGATTCTGAGTCACAGTCATGGCTGAGAAATACAGCCAGGGAATCTGAAACTGATTTGAAGATTGATTTCTTTACACAGTATTGTTGTTGTCATCAGTATGCAGATGACACCCAGCTCTACCTCTCCTTTAAATCAGAATCAGTGAAGGCAGTGAAGGTCCTGTGTGAGTGCCTGGAGGCGGTTGGAGGATGGATGGCGGCTAACAGATTAGGTTGAATCCTGACAAGACAGAAGTACTGTTTTTGGGGGACAGGGAGCGGGTTGGTGTGGGGGATTCCCTGGTCTTGAATGGGGTAACTGTGCCCCTGAAGGACCAGGTGCGCAGCCTGGGAGTCATTTTGGACTCACAGCTGTCCATGGAGGCGCAGGTTAACTCTGTGTCCAGGGCAGCTGTCTACAAGCTCCACCTGGTACACAGTCTAAGACCCTACCTGCCCGCAAACTGTCTCGGCAGAGTGGTGCATGCTCTAGTTCAGTGTTTCCCAACCGGTGTTCCGCGGCACACTGGTGTGCCATGAGACCTTGCCTGGTGTGCCGTGGGAGGGAGGCGGGAGAGGCGGGGCGGCGGCGGCATCTCCTGCTGGATGCAAATCCAAACATGGCGGGCGCCTCCCTCGCTCCTTTGTAGGCGGACCATCGAGAGAGAAAGAAAAGGAGGCGAAAGAGCGAGAGAAGGCGCCTGCGCGGAAAGAGGAGCGAGCAGTGCGCCTGCGCGCCGCGGCGCCCGAGATCGCTTCTCCCCACCGCCCCTTGCTTCAAAAGAGGTCCGGGGGCAGCGGGAAGCGCAGCGCTTCTTCCCCGCTGCCCCCGGACCTCTTTTGAAGCAAGGGGCTGCGGGGAGATCGCTTCTCCTGGTGCTCCGAAGCGGGGCGGGGGGGCGGGAACACCTGCCCCAGCCGCCCCGCTTCGGAACGCTGCTCCGAGGCGGGGCGGGGGGGCGGGAACACCTGCCCCAGCCGCCCTGCTTCGGAACGCTGCTCCGAAGCGGGGCGGGCGGGAACACCTGCCCCAGCCGCCCCGCTTCGGAACGCTGCTCCGAAGCGGGGCTGGGGGGCGGGAACACCTGCCCCAGCCGCCCCGCTTCGGAACGCTGCTCCGAAGCGGGGCGGTGGGGCGGGAACACCTGCCCCAGCCGCCCCGCTTCGGAGCGCTGCTCCGAAGCGGGGCGGTGGGGCGGGAACCTCGCACCCCGCCGCCGGGCATCGGAACGATGCCCCGATGCCAGGCAGTGGGGCGGGAACCTCTCCCCCCGCCGCCGGGCATCGGAACGATGCCCCAATGCCGGGCGGTGGGGCGGGAACCTCTCCCCCCGCCGCCCGGCATCGGAACGATGCCCCGATGCCGGGCGGTGGGGCGGGAACCTCGCACCCCGCCGCCGGGCATCGGAACGAGGTCCTGGACCTCTTCTGAAGGCAGGTGGGGGCAAAAGTCTTTGCTCCCCCCGCCTGCCTTCCCGGGACAGCGGAGACTTCTCCGCTGCCCCGGGCGATCTTAAAATGCTGGCGGGCGGGAGCGAAGCGTTCGCTGCCGACCCCCAGCATTTTAAAATCTCCTCGGGGCAGCGGAGACTTCGCTCCCGCCCGCCAGCATTTTAAAATCGCCCCGGGACAGCAGGGGCTTTTAAAATGCTGGCGGTCGGCAGCAAAGCCCTCCTGTCCCCGGAGCTTGCGGGGCGGGAGGTGGGAAGAAGGGCTTTTCTTCCCACCGCCAGCCTTCAGAACAGCCTTCTGAAGGCTGGCAGTGGGAAGAAAAGCCCTTGTCCCCCCCCCAGCCTTCAGAAGAGGTCGGGGACAGATTGTCCCCGGACCTGGTCTGAAGGAGGTTTCCCTAGGAACGCATTAATTGATTTTCAATGCATTCCTATGGGAAACCGTGCATCGCAAGACGAAAAAACCGCAAGACAAAGAGACTTGCGGAACGAATTAATTTCGTCTTGCGAGGCACCACTGTACTTTTTATATAGTCAATATAGGCACAGAGTTAAATTTTTTAACATTTTCTAATGGTGGTGTGCCTCGAGATTTTTTTCATGAAACAAGTGTGCCTTTGCCCAAAAAAGGTTGGGAAACACTGCTCTAGTTATCTCACGCTTGGACTACTGCAACGCGCCCTACATGGGGCTACCTTTGAAGGTGACCCGGAAACTGCAATTAATCCAGAATGCGGCAGCTAGACTGGTGACTGGGAGTGGCCGCCGGGACCACATAACACCGATTCTGAGAGATCTGCATTGGCTCCCCGTACGTTTCCGAGCATGATTCAAAGTGTTGGTGCTGACCTTTAAAGCCCTAAATGGCCTCGGTCCTGTATACATGAAGGAGCGTCTCCACCCCCATCGTTCAGCCCGGACACTGAAATCCAGCGCCGAGGGCCTTCTGGCGGTTCCCTCATTGCGAGAAGTGAGGCTACAGGGAACCAGACAGAGGGCCTTCTCGGTAGTGGCGCCCACCCTGTGGAACGCCCTCCCATCAGATGTCAAAGAGATAAATAATTACCTGACATTCAGAAGACATCTTAAGGCAGCCCTGTTCAGGGAAGTTTTTAATATGTAACGCTGTACTGTTTTTAACACTGATTGGGAGCCACCCAGAGTGGCTGGGGAAACTCAGCCAGATGGGCGGGCTATAAATAATAAATTATTGTTGTTGTTGTTATATTACATTCAGGTGGACACACCACTGGTTTTATCTTCTTTCTATTTTCCACACTCAGTGTTATTCACCTTTAATACTCACCTTTTTCAGTGTCACACATATTTTTATCTTCTGATCTTCAAATGAAAAGAGGTATAACAATTTAATAAATAAATCCCAGTTGGAGCAGAGCTAGAATATCCAGAAGCCCTTGGCCACCTAGGGCAAAGGAGGAAGAACAATGAGAGAGGCCTGGACAGGGAATCTCCGCTAAGATAAGCCAGTGTCAGGAGGCAGGTGCGAGACCCGGCGGCATATAATTATTCTAAATCATAATGGGGGTGGGTGTCTCAATCTGGCCTTCCCAGCAGTCAGGCTCCAGCTGCTTCCCTTCTGCATCTCCAGCTCTCTCCATTCAAGAATGCAAGGCTGAGAGATGGAGGTCCAACCCCAAGAACATTCTCCAACTGAGCACTCCTTCAACCGACCACAAGCACCAAGCCTTGTCACTAGACTTATATATGGGTCTCCCAAAATGGTCAGTATGCACCTCCTGAGGCCAAAGGGAGTGTGCAGGTGATGAATAAAGATCTAGAGGTCGAAGGGGACAAAATGTGGCCCAAGGGGTGGAGGATTATAGTGCAGAGGATGAAGAACTTCATGATGAATTTAGGACCCTGATGAATAGTGGCCAGGTTCATGGAACATAGAGCAGCTCCCTTTCCTATGAGAAACCACTTTTTATAAAACGTAAAGCCCACAGTTCAACCGTATTCTAAGATAATGCTGATTCATTAACAATAATTAAGGGTTATGAAAGGCTGATGTTGCATTACCATTATTTAACATTATTTCATTTGCCTATGCTAAAAAATTGGAACATAAGGAGGACAGGAGAGAATTTACAAGACGTTAAAATAAGAGCAGATGCTAATTGATGTGTGTAATATTCCTTTGTTCTCTTCCTAGGTTTCCTTTCCCCCCGCTCCTCACTGTTGAAAGAAGACAATGGAGAAGGCAGTCAAAATTCTGGTGGGCCATGTCCAATGGGAATAATAAAGAAACCATATAAATTCATGGAATGTGAAAAGAGAGAGGAGAAACAATTTGAAAGTATGGAGTGTGGGAAGAGTTTCACTGACAGTGGAACACTTGGAAAACATCAACGGACTCACACAGGAGAGAAACCATTTAAATGCATGGAGTGTGGAAAAAGCTTTGGTTGGAGTTCAAACCTTCGTATACATAAACACACTCACACGGGGGAGAAACCATATAAATGTAAGGAGTGTGGAAAGAGCTTCAGTCAGACTGGACACCTTAGAAACCATCAACGAACCCACACAGGGGAAAAACCGTATAAATGTATGGAGTGTGGAAAGAGCTTCACCGATAGTGGAACATTTAGAAAACATCAACAGACACACACGGGCGATAAACCATTCAAATGCATGGAATGTGTAAAGAGCTTCAGTCAGAGTAGACACCTTAGAATCCATCAACGGATTCACACAGGGGAGAAACCATTTAAATGTTTGGAGTGTGGAAAGAGTTTCAGTACAAATAGAGGACTGAATATTCATCATAAAACTCACACTGGGGAAAAACCATTTAAATGTATGCTGTGTGAGAAGTGCTTCACTGTTAGTAGAACACTTAGAATCCATTATCGAACTCACACAGGGGAAAAACCATTTGAATGTATGGAGTGTGGAAAGAGCTTCACTTATAGTGGAACACTTAGAATCCATCAACGGACTCACACAGGGGAGAAACCATTTAAATGCATGGAATGTGGAAAGTGCTTTATTGATGGTACAGCACTTAATATCCATCATCAAACTCACACAGGGGAAAAACCATTTGAATGTATGGATTGTGGAAAAAGCTTCACTTGTAGGGGAACACTTAGAATCCATCAACGGATTCACACAGGGGAGAAACCATATAAATGTATGGAGTGTGGAAAGAGCTTCAGTTCTAGTGGAGCAGTAAGAAGACATCAATGGACTCACTCAGGGGAGAAACCATTAAAATGCATGGAATGTGGAAAGAGTTTTATTGAGAAAAGAGACCTGAGAACCCATTATCAAACTCACACTGGGGAGAAACCGTTTAAATGCACTGAGTGCGGAAAGAGCTTCAATCGCAGTGGAACACTTAGAGAACATAAATGGACTCACACAGGGGAGAAACCATATAAATGTATGGATTGTGGAAAGAGATTCAGTCACAGTGAAACACTAAGAAAACATCAACGAACTCACACAGGGGAGAAACCGTTTAAATGCATGGAATGTGGAAAGAGCTTTATTGATGGTACAGCACTTAGTATCCATCATCAAACTCACACAGGGGAGAAACCATTTGAATGTATGGAGTGTGGAAAGAGCTTCACTTCTAATGGAGCAGTAAGAAGACATCAAAGGATTCACACAGGGGAGAAACCATTAAAATGCATGGAGAGTTGAAAGAGTTTTATTGAGAGTAGAGAGCTGAGAGCCCATTATCAAACTCACACTGGGGAGAAACCATTTAAATGCACCGAGTGCGGAAAGAGCTTTAATCGCAGTGGAACACTTAGAAAACATCAATGGACTCACACAGGGGAGAAACCATTTAAATGTAAGGAGTGTGGAAAGGGCATCACCAATGTTGGAAATGTTAGAAGACATCAACGGACTCACACGGGAGAAACCATTTAAATGTATGGAGAGTTGAAAGAGTTTCTTTCAGAGTGGAACCCTAATTTCACACACAGGAAACTTAGACGACATCAACAGACTATTTGTTTGTCGGGGACAAGCAAATAATTGTATGGAGTATGGAAAGAGCTTCAATAGAAGTGGAAACCTTGGCAAACACCAGCAAACTCGGAGGGAAAACCACTTACGTATATGGAGCGTACGTAGAGCTTCAGTCCTGATGTTCCTACAAAACATCAATGGACTCGCAAGGACAATCCACAAACTAAAAAATTATAATTTGAATGGAAGGAGTGTGGGAAGTGCTTCAATTGCTTTATATATAGATAATTTTATTAATAATGTATATAATTTTTTTTTACAAATTGCATTCAAAAATGGAAGCATTCACTTCCGGGTTCTTGGCGTTTGAAAGCCCCAAACATTCGACTTCCAAAGCGTTCAACAACCAAGATTCCACTGGGTATCCAGCAATTGTGTGTTGTCCAACGATATCCATTCTTTTAACCAACACAAAGAGGCTGCTTCATGGTAGAAAATCTAGCAATGCGAAGCCACCTCTATTTTTAGTATCTATCAAAATTTTATACTTTATTCTTGGTGTTTCCCCCCGCTAGAGTAATCATGAAATATCTCTTTGCCATTTGTTAAAGAAGCTTGTATTATTTATTATTGGTATCATTTAGAATACAAACAGTATCTTAGGTAAAACATTTCTCTTTATGGTTGAAATCCTTCGTAAAAGTGAAAGTTTCATCCTCCCCCATATTTCCAAATGCTTTTTAACATCTTTTGATACTTTAACGTAATTGGAATATGTTGTCATCCAGTGTTTTTCAAATAAACCCTTATTTAGTCTCCATCTATGCAATGAACTCTTTTCACCCCTCATTATCATCCATGTTGAGTTTTGATCTGATATAGTTCTTGGCTGGATCTCTACAGTCTTTAATCCTGTAGGCAGTTCCTTCAATATCCAGATCATGTTTCTTCTTCCCGCAGAATCCTTTGAATCAGAAGAACATGTTTTCTCTTGTTCTAATGGGGGTCTGAATCTCCAAGCATCTGGGTTGGCAAACTAAGGCCCGTGGGCCGAATCAGGCGCAATTGCCTTCTAGATCCGGCCTGCGGACGGTCCAGGAAGCGCGCGTGGATTGTCAGCACACACGTTCTTTCCCTCTCCCTCACACGGCAGCGCTTTTCTCCTCAGGGACGAGCAATCTTGTCCCACACCGGGCGCCATCAACGGGGGGAGTCGGCTCACCCGCCTGCCTGCCTCTGAAGGGTGGCGCTGGGAAGGGGGGGATGTGACTGCCGGCTGCTGCTGCGTTATCCTCTTGCTGCTCCTCCCTCTCCCTCAGTCTATCCTTCCTTCCTTTTCTGCGCCCCTTCTCCTCACGCGCTTTCTTCGTCACCCCCTCCCTCCTTCATTTCTCCCATGGCGTTCAGGCGGTTTGTTGCAGCGGCCACAGCTGCCGCTTGCGGGTTGGGAAGCAGCAGCAGGTGGTGAGTAAAGGCTCTGGCAACGCCCCGGTTCCCCTGCCTCCGTTCGCAGCTCCGCCAGGGCTGCTGCTTCTGTCTTCTCCGGCCCACGCAGCCTCCTGCCCTGCCCTGGCACCTGGCTGGAGAAGCCCAACTGCGGCTATTGGGACGACAACTGGGACAGGTAAAGCCAAACATCTTCAGGCCTCTTTGCGGGCGGGCTAAAATCGCTCATTTCCCCCAAAATATAGTCCGGCCCCCAACAAGGTCTGAGGGACAGTGGACTGGCCCCCTGCTGAAAAAGTCTGCTGACCCCTGATCTAGTAGATCCATTGTTGTAACCATATCAAAAAAGTATTTGGTATTTTGCCTTCTTTTGAGACACTTTCCCTCAGTGTTCTGTCATAGTCCAGTGATACTACTCCATTAAATTCACCCATAATAATTATATTTCTGTCATAAACCTCAGACATACTTTCCTCCTGTAGTTGGAAGAAATCTCATGCGAAAAGTGGCTCTGAATCGGAAAGTCCCAGTCCCAAATCTTAATCCTGCCACCCGAAGATATTATAAGCAAGCCCCACATTCCTCTTTCCACCTGCAATAGGGAGGTTAGAACAACACTTAATACCCGGCAGGGATCATAAGAGCCAGAATTGCTTTGCATTCACAAAGGCTATGTGAAATATCACTAGTGAACAGAATAATTTAAAGGAGGAAACCAACAACAGTATTTAAATTGCAGGGAGAGAGAGAAAACAGGATTTGAAATGACCCAACCACAAGATGAGAAGTCTCCCTACTAAATGAGGGAAGGGGGAGGCATTGGGGGGGGGCTTTTGAAGTCTCCCTGCTGGCAAGGGAATTCCAGAGCAAGGGCGCCTCTCTCTGTCTGGAATCCCTCACTGCCTCATCTCCAGCAGGAAGGGAGGATTTCCAGACTGGGACCCTTCACTGTTTGGGGGAGGTGCTGGGGCCTGGGCAGCTGGATGGATGGACATCAGCCTGCAGAAATGCACCCCCCCTCCTATCACAGGACTGTTGTGGTGTTGCATGTGTGTGACAAGGCAACACTCAAGAACAGTTCCCACCAACCAACATTACATCATTCCTCCACTGCCCACAAGAGGGCGATCTTTCCTCTACACATGGTAGAATCCTAGAATTGCAGAGTTGGAAGGGACCACGAGGGTCATCTAGTCCAGCCCCTGCAATGCAGGAATATTTTGCCCAAAGTGGGGCTCAAACCCCCGACCCATAGATTCAGAGTCTCATGCTCTACCAACTGAGCTATAAAAGTAAAAACCAGGACAAGCCCAAAATTGTTGTGCTTTTTTTTAAGACAAGGCCCCAAATAAACGCCAAAAAAGCCCATGATTTTTCGATTGACTTGTCTTAAATTCAGGACAAAGTGTCATCTTTTGGAAATTCCGCCTTTGAAATCTTTTCCAAGTCTTTCTTTTGAATGGGGTGGGGGGTTTTCAATCTGGCCAGTCCCCACGCAAAAGAATAAATGGAAACGTATCCAAAAGGGCATTTGGAAACCACCTGGTTGCAAACCACTCTGGGTCCTTTGGCCTCCTGCTAGCAGAACCGCCTGAACTGCTGGCTCCGCACATGGGAGCAGAGTAGGACTTACTTCCGAGTAAGCAGGCATCAGATGGAAAATTGTGTATCAATAAGGCTTTTGGCCGTGAATTTATACCTACAGCTAAAATGAGAAAAGAGAAGAGGTTCTTTATGCAGGCCCCAAACTAGACCCCAAGCAGCTATATAAGGGCAGTGAGGGAAGAATTATGAGTTTGGAAGTGACATTGCCAGGAAGGAAGAACAGTCCTGGAGGAAGAATTATACACAGCAAATGGGAAGAAATCAGACTTTGACATACTGTATGGGCTGCAGGCAGGTGGTGAGGGGCTTTTTATACAGCCTTCTTTCTAGAGAAGCTCCAAAAGCCAGATCTATGAGCAGAAATCAGGGCGAATGAGAAGAAATCCACTCATAAAGCAGGGATCCCGGGGAATCTGCCTCCTCGGCGCCTGAAACTGAGGCGAGGCTCAGATCCCGAAGGGCGGGAAGTTGGGAAAAGGCGGGAAAAGTCGTTGAGGGGAAGCAGCAGCGGGGGGAGGGGCTCCTCCTCTCTCGCCCCTCAGAGACACGACGGGGACCCTCTTGGGAGGGGAGCAGAAAGGGGTCTCTCTCTCCCCCCCTCACAACCCCATTGCCCTCCTCTCATGGCGGAAGGGGAGCCCACCCTCTCCCTGCCGGGCCAAGGGGGTCTCTGGGCGCAGGAGAGCCTGGGGGGAGGAGGGGGAGAGGAAAGGAAGCGCCCCTTCTCTCTCAGGCAGCCCCATGTCTCTTCCCACCCCCGAGGCTGGGTCCATCTCTGGGCTTCACAGAGGACCCCCCTGGGCTGGGGGGGGAGGGACCCCCTGGGCTTCCCCGGCTCAGCCCCTCCCCCACTCTCCTGACCTGCTTCTGAGCATCAGGTTTCTTTGGCCGTCTCCCCCTTCCTTGCTTGCCCCTTCTGCGTTCCCACGGCAAGTCCAGCCGAATTCGACTATGGCGTGTGGTGCATATCTCCGCCTTCAGACGGAGGGAGCCAGGCAGCTTTCCGGGTCCTGTGCCCAACTTTTCATGAGCTGATATTAAATCCCAAAAGACCTACAGCTGCTTGTTACAAAGGGTGAGGGGCCGATTCCAGTAGGTTAATGATATTAACTCTTTCCATGCTCATTTCTGATGCTCAGAAGCAGGTGCACCCTTTCCTATACCCTTCCCATACCTTCTAAAATACACTGAGACCATCTTATAACATATCCCCGCTATAACACACAAGTTCTAATTAAATCCTAATATTTACTATACCTAAACATTAAGCACCACAGACTAACAATAATGACAACAATAATAGTAATAATAATTTATTATTTATACCCTGCCCATCTGGCTGAGTTTCCCCAGCCACTCTGGGCGGCTCCCAATTGAGTGTTAAAAACAATACAGCATTAAATATTAAGAACTTCCCTAAACAGGGCTGCCTTCAGATGTCTTTTAAAAATAAGATAGCTGCTTAATTTCTTGACATCTGATGGGAGGGCATTCCACAGGGCAAGCGCCACTACCCAGAAGGCCCTCTGTCTGGTTCCTGTAACCTCACTTCTCGCAATGAGGGAACCGCCAGAAGGCCCTCGGCGCTGGATCTCAGTGTCCAGGTTGAACGATGGAGGTGGAGACGCTCCTTCAGGTATACAGGACTGGTTTCTGCTGTAGACCGCCTCCTGTGATGTATTCCTGCTGTAGACAGTCTCCTTCTGTACGATTTTTACGGGGGTGGTCTTGGGTGGGCAATTTCAAAAGACTATATAAGGCCTTGCACACCTCCCTCCTGGTTGTGGTGAGGGGGGGACCCTGTTGCAATAAAGCCGCTTTGCTTCTCAGTATACTCTGGTTGGCCTCTGTTATTTTCTCCTACCAATATGGAACCCACTTAAGGACTATATGGGCTCTTGGATACCCCACAAGGGAAAAGGAGCAGGTTTTTTCATATAACAAAGGTCGTAAGAATATGTTTGGTTGGCACGCTTATTTATGGCATGATAAAACTAAAACACACAAGAGCTCTATGAATCAGGTTATTCAGAAAATTATTTTTACAGTGTAGCAGGAACCCCCCCACCCCAATCATTCTGTTTGTACAAACTTCACACACACACACAGGATGGGCGCATAGACACCACCTTATACCGTAAACCAACTGACCGACAAACATATCTACATGCCTCTAGCTACCATCCCAAGCATACCAAACAGTCCATTGTATATAGCCAGGCACTACGTTACAGCCGTATCTGTTCCAATTCTACAGACAGAGACTCTCACCTAAGAGATCTACAGCAAACCTTTTTAGAACTAAAATACCCAGCAGATGAAGTTAGACAACAGATCAACAGAGCCAGACTGATACCCAGAGAGAACTTGCTGCAAGATGTTACAGGAAAAATCCGAGGGCTCCCTTGGACAAAACAAAGACACCAACCAGGATAACTTGGAGCAAAACAGCAGCCTGTAGGCTTGGCCTTTATTGAAGTGATGCATCAGGGTGTTCCCCTCACTTGCAGGAGAGAGGAAAAGACCCAGAAAAATAGTGTGCCAGGTCTTATAAAAACTTTTGAAATTCCCCTCCTCTAGGTCAAGCCCACCCCCAGAAACATCATGCATACATTACAGAGAGGAGGGGTTGAGGGAGGAGTTGGTGGTAACCTGAGTGTCTTGTCACCTGGCTGGTTCCTCCTT